GGAGGCAAGTATTTCTCTTTGATCAACATGGGCTGCTTTGGGTCTCTTGATTTTTTTCCATTTTAGGTCCGTTACTGTTTATTCAGCCTCTGTTCTTTCTAGGAACTATACAAAGAAGACGTGCACGCTTAGGCTACGCAGATGATCTAGGACTGCTTAGTGCTGGAACCACTCTTGAAGGGAATGTTGTTACTCTCCAGGAGGATTTCAAGTTGCTAAATGATTGGGCCAGCAAAGAAGGGCTGACATTTGATTTTGCCAAAACTGAGATAGCACACTTCACACGGCGCAGAACCCTTTCAAACCCCTCAATTGACCTTGAAACAACATCTGGCACTCACTCTATTACAGCAAAGGCAGTGAAAAGCTCCATAAGATATCTAGGAATCTGGCTAGATAGAAAACTGAGCTTCAAGAAACACGTGGAGACCATGGCGGCTAAGGCACGACAGGTGTCTAATGGCATACGAGCACTAAGCAACACAGCAAGAGGCGCCCCAGTACAACTGCTTAGACAATCCATTCAGGCCTGTGTGCTCTCTGTGCTCTGCTATGGAGCAGAGGCCTGGTGGCCTGGAGCCACACGAATGGAGAAGGGAAAGGAAATCTCCAATTGAATGGATTGCCTAGTCAGAAAGCTAGATCTAGCCCTTAGAGATGCTTTGCGAGGGGCACTGCCAGTCTACAAGACCACACCCATTTCAGCTCTACACCGTGAGCTAGGAATCATGCCAATGAAAGAGACACTAGACAACCAGCGTGCTGTATTTGCAGTAAGAATCAAAAAGCTTGACAAGAGGCACCCGCTAGTGAGACGCTCTAATAAAGTAGCTACCACCAAACCCTATACCACACGTCTGTCTAGAGCGTCCAGTCATGCTGGTGGGATAGAAGCATATGACCCTCTACTCACGCCCCCTTGGATGAGATTTCCCAGGAAAGAAGATCTGCAGATTGGGTATGTGGCAGGCCGCACAAAGGAACAGGCAGCACAAGACTTTAAGAGCTGGCTACAACAACGCAATCCCCTGGATCTGGTGGTCTTTACCGATGGTTCACAGATAGAGCACCCTCAGCGTGCGACTGGTGCAGGATGGGCTATATGCTGGGGTAGCAAACACCGTCTAATCTCCACAGGAAACCTGCCAATGGATAAAGCAGAGGTCTTTGACGCAGAGGCAATGGCAGCCCTGCAGGGCCTAAAGGAAGCCACCACCTTGCCTCAGGCGAAGTTTGCCAGCAACGTCTACATTTGCCTAGACAATTTGGAGGTAGCACAAGCCCTTGGATCCGTGCCAAACACCTCTAGCCAGCAGGTCTTCGCGCAGTTTCTGAAAGCCATAAAGGCCTGGCAGAGCAGGGATAGGCTCCCATTGGCCACCCAGAGCAGGGTGGTCATTAGATGGGTCCCAGGCCACGCAGGCGTGGCTGGTAATGAAAAGGCAGATCTTGAAGCCAAAGCAGCCGCAGCGCAGGCAGCAAGTGCAAGCATGGTACCTCAACCTGACAGCATAGGCACTCTAGCTTATATAAAGCGACACACTATGGAACAAACCACACGGGCCTTTGAGAACTACTGGGCCAAAAATCAGCCCAAACGCTATATGGAGCTGGAGATCCCACTAAAGAGAGCCTCAACAGAGGTAAAACTTTCACGCTTCACATTAGGAAAGCTCTATGCCGCCCGATCAGGTCATGGAGACTTTGCAGCCTACCACAGCCACCTTAAGCATGAAGATGCAGAGTGCTACTGCCGGTGCGGACATAGCAAAACTCCAGAACATTTCTACTATTGCACTCTTGCAAGAAAAGCAGCAAAGCGGCGCCGGCCTATCTACAATCTCCGCGAGACACTGGCAACCTCGCGTGGGGCCCTAGAATTCAATAACTGGCTAAGAGAAACAGCCTTCTATCAGAATATCTGTCCAATGCGCCGTCGCGCACCTCCAGATCAGATCCCACAGACCATTCTCTCCTCTGTCT